GAGTCTTACTTCATAACCCTCAGTAGAGTGCTGTGGCATCATAGCTCACAGCAACCTCAAACTGCTGAGCTCAAGCTGCCTCAACCTCCCAAGTTGCTGGGACTACAGGCGCTGGCCACATTGCCCAGTTATTTATTTATTTATTTTTGAGACAGAGCCTCAAACTTTCGCCCTGGGTAGAGTGCTATGGCATCACAGCTCACAGCAACCTCCAACTCCTGGGCTCAAGCGAGTCTCCACCTCCCAAGTAGCCGGGATTACAAGTGCCTGCCACAATGCCCGGCTATTTTTTGGTTGCAGCTGTCATTGTTGTTTGGGGGGCCTGGGCTGGATTCGAACCCACCAGCTCAGGTGTACATGGCTAGTGCCTTAGCTGCTTGAGCCACAGGCACCAAGCTGCCCAGCTATTTTTAAGACCAGATTTCCTCTAGCTCAGGCTGGTCTCAAACCTGTGAGCTCAGGCAATCCACCTGCCTCAGCCTCCCAAGTGCTGGGATTACAGGCATAAGCCACTGCACCCGCCCTTATTTGCCCTTTTCACTCTCATTCTCTCACAAGTATACTATGTATTTTTCCAGAACTCTCATGAAGCATGGCATTATGGTTCCCATAGCTAATAGAATATGTGGTTGAATATTTCCATTTTAAAAATGTATTTACTTTAGGTTGGATGAGGTGAATCAAGCCTGTAATCCTAGCACTCTGGGAGGCCAAGGTAGGAGGATTGCTTGAGCTCAGGAGTTTGAGACCAGCCTGAGCAAGAGTGAGACTTTGTCTCTTCTGAAAAATAGAAAAACTAGCCAGGCACTGTGGTGAGCGCCTGTAGTCCCAGCTACTCAGGAGGCTGAGGCAAGAGGATCCCTTCAGCCAAGAGTTTGAGGTTGCTGTGAGCTATGACACCAAGACACTCTACCCAGGATGACACAGTGAGACTCTATCTCAAAAAAAATAATAATAAAGTATTAACTTTAATTTCTAGTATGGTAAGTATGAAAAGAACAAAGCATAAGCAAACGCTCTTTGGAATCCTCAATTTCTAAGAATATAAAGGGATTTGAGACCAAAAAGTTTTGAGATAGGCTGGGTGCTGTGGCTCATACTAATAATCCTCTGAGAGGCCGAGGTGGGCAGATTGCCTGAGTTCACAGGTTGGAGACCAGCCTGAGCCAGAGTGAGACCTCATGTCTAAAAATAGCTGGGCATTGGCTTGACACCTGTAGCTCAGTGGTTAGGGTGCCAGCCACATACACCAGGGCTGGCCTGCTAAACAATAATGACAACTGGCTCGGCGCCTATGGCTCAAGTTGCTAAGGCGCCAGCCACATACACCTAAGGTGGCGGGTTTGAATCCAGCCCGGACCCGCCAAACAACAATGACGGCTGCAACCAAAAAATAGCCAGGTGTTGTGGTGGGCGCCTGTGGTCCCAGCTACTTGGGAGGCTGAGACAGGAGACTCGCTTGAGTCCAGGAGTTGGAGGTTGCTGTGAGCTGTGAAGCCATGGCACTCTACCCAGGGGGATAGCTTGAGGCTCTGTCTCAAAAACAAAACAAAACAATAATGACAACTACGGGCTCAGAGCTCTTCAGCTCTCAGACCCTTGTGGCAGGTCTACATCTAGGATACTCATTTTCTGCTCCATCTACCAGCTTTTAACTGTATTTCATGCCCACTCCCCACAGAGACAGACCCCCTGCATCACTTCCTACTAACTGCAAAAGGGGTCCTCTATGTGCTCACTAGCACCCATTAAAGAAGCCATTCCTGGCAGCACTCTTCCTTCTCTGTGCCATGGCTTCCACATTTTGTTCTCTGCTGCATTCATGAGCTGGAGTTCTCACCCAGAGGTCCAAGTGCCTAGACCGCCTCCTTTGTGCACACATCCCACAAGAATGAAAGAGTGACAGGCACTGGGGGGTAGGGAGCAGACAACAGGGCTATGGCACAGCATGGGTTCAGAGGGCCGAATCTTGAAGGCACTGAGTGGAGGGCGTTCCCGAGCTGGAGGACTGGAGCAGCCCTTGACTGGCAGCATCCAACTTAGTGGCATGGATAGTCTCAACAGGCTGTTGGGTGAGCACGTGCGCCCCCCGCGCCCTATTGGTCACCAAGCTCCTGGTTTGGAGCGCAGTGCCCAGGCAGCTCAGGGTATTGCGGAAACCCTCAGCGCTAAAGTAGTACACCAGCGGATCCAGCACGCAGTTGGCGCCGGCCAGCAGCACCATCACCATAAGAACCCCGCGCACTCGATCGCGGGCCTCGTGGCTCGCCACCACCAGTTTGCCCCGCAGCAGTCCGTAGACCGCTAGCGTGGCGTTGTAGGGCACGAAGCATAGCAGGAAGATGACGAGGCTGGCCAGCAGGAGGCGCACGGTCTTCCGCTGCCGCTGGCTCCGCGTGGCGTCTGGCCGCGCGAGCGTCCAGAAGACCCGGCTCGACGAGTAGACCACGGCCACCAGGGGTAGCAGGAAGCCCAGCGTCTCGGCCAGCAGCACGAGTGGCAGCAGTCTGCCCTTCCACAGCTCGTCGCTGAAGCTCTCAAAGCACAGGCGCACCTTGCGGCCATTGTAGCTGCAGAGCGACGGCCTGTGCACGAAAGTGATGGGCACAGCGAACACCAAGATGAGCGCCCACACGCCGAGGCAGAGCAGCCGCGCCACTCGGGGATGCCGCAGGTGGCGCAGCCGCAGCGGGTGCACGATGGCGGCGTAGCGGTCCATGTTGATGAGCATGAGGAAGATGCAGCTGCCGTACATGTTCATCTGGAAGATGGCACCTGCCGTCTGGCACAAGAGGTCTGGGAAGGGCCAGTAGTGCAGTGCGTAGTAGGAGACGCGTACGGGCAGCGACAGGGTGAAGAGAAGGTCGCTGGCCGCCAGGTTGCACATGTATACACTCACCACCGAGTGCACACGCAGTGCGCGCAGGAAGACCCAGAGTGCCAGTGTGTTGAGGGGAAGTCCAGCAATCAGCACCAGGCTGTAGACCACCATGTGCAGCTGATGGGTGAACCGGTAGTCAGGACACTGTAGAACAGGGCTATTAGTAGACGAGATGTTGGCTGAGGAGTTGGCCAACATTGTGCCAAACTCTGAGAGGGTGCTGCTAGGCTGAAGACATCATGGGGCACATCAGGGTCAGGACATGGTTGTCACTTCCCGGTAGAGGCCTGGTGGGTGTACAGAGAGGGTTCCAAAGCAAGCAGATGCTGGGCATGGGAATGTGGCCACAGGGACAGATGGCTGCCAAGGGTTGAGTGCCTTTGGTCACCCCTTCATCAGCAATGGAGACCTGGAATAGGGAGGCAGGCCACACGTTAATGTTAGGCAAGGACAAGGCTGCAGACACAAATGTTTATCCAGCTAAAATGATTGTTCTTCTGAGTCTTTTCTCAGCCTCAAGTCTTTTCTTCACCTTCCAATGGGCCAGAATAGCTTCGGATAGCTGGACTATATAGCACAGGGTTAAATGCCCAAGCTCCAAAGTCAGGGACTCCAGACTGCTTAGGTTTAAATATGGCTTTTCCAACTTGCTTCAGAAAGTGAGCTTTGTGACCTCAGAAAAGTTAATCTCTCTGAATCTCATTTTCCTTACCTGGCCAGGGGTGACATGCAGAACAAGAGGAGTTTAATAGCAGTCTTTACTTCATGAGGTGGTTTGGAGAGTGAGATGATGTATGTAAAATGCTGCTTAGGTTCCTGTTATTACCTTATAAGATCCCTTGCCTTCCATGTGTACTTAGCCCATAGGTGGTTCTAGGTATGTTCACATCAGTGAACAAAACAAAAAGGCCCCGTAGTCTCAGCTACAGGTGGAGGATTGCTTGAGCACAGAAGTTCTAGGTTGTAGTGTGGTATGCCAGTGGTGTGTTCACACTAAGTTTGGCATCAATATAGTGACCTCCCAGGAGAAGGGGGCCATCACACTGCCTAAGGAGTGAACCAGCCCAGGTCAGATATGAAGCAGGTCCAAACTCCTGTGCTGATGGGTAGTGAGCTCTCACCACTTCACTCCATGGCAACATAGCAAGAACTTGGCTTTAAAAAAAAATTAAAGATAAAAAATAAAAAGGCAAAAAAAAAAATAAATAAAAATAAAAATAAAAAGGCTTGGCCAGGGGCATGATGGCTCACGTCTGTAATCCTAGCACTCTGGGATGTCGAGGCAGGTGGATTTTTTGAACTCTAGGAGTTTGAGACTGGCTGAGCAACAGCGAGACTCCATCTCTACTAAAACAGAAAAACTAGCTGGGTGTTATGGCAGGCACTTGTCATTCCAGCTGCTCTGGAGGCTGAGGCAAGAGGATCACTTGAGTTGAGAAATTTGAGGGTGCTATGAGCTAGGACACCATGGTCCTCTACCCAGGGGGACAGAGTGAGACTCAAAAAAATAAAAAAAAAACTAAAAAAGGCTTTCCCCCCATCTACTTTACATTCTAGGGGAGGGAGACAGATAATAAAGAAATGCAATAGGTAGTATGTCAGGTGGCAAGAAGTACTTCCGAGCACCTCCCTTGCATCAGGTGCTAGGCTGGCTTCCCATTATCTAAAGAATAAAGTTCAAACTCCTGAGTTCAGTATGAAATCCCAGGCTCACTCACCACATGCTCCTGTATGGGCTGGATTTGTGGTCGGAGCCACACGTGTTTAACTTATTGATTTTACCTAGTTAACCCTCAGTTTCTTCATCTGTAAAATGAGAATAATAATGGAGGCCTCAGAGGGTGCTGGCACACCAGCTGTGCCCGAAGCCACTTTAGAGCAAACTTGGCAGCTCAGTTGTGACAGGCAGAGAGAGGGACTGAGATTTTCCTGGTGCTCCCCCAGTTAGTTCCAGGGTCTACCTAAGGAGCTTCTCATATGAGGGTCTATGGTAGAAGGGAGATGGTGGTTTAGTAGTAAGGGCTCAAAGAAGATCTAAGGCCAGAGAGAGCGGAGGTGAGGAAAGGAAGTACTCCAGGTGCTGCCAGAGAGTAGACCACAGCAGCTTCAGTTCTTGGGCAAAAGTTGGTCAACAAAGGATGTGACCAAGAGGAAGAGGAGCCAGAAGATGGGATTTGGTCTGAGGCCCTTCCTCAACCACATAAGGCTACAGAAACTACCCCTCTATTGTAAACACAGATGCTTTTTTTGGTATATGATAAAATATATATGTATATATATTTTGTGTATATGATAAAAATATATTTTGTGTGTATATGATAAAAAATATATGTATATTTTTGGGGGCCGGGACTGGGTTTGAACCCACCACCTCTAGTATATGCAGCCGGCGCCCTACTCCTTTGAGCCACAGGCACCCCCCTCTTTTTTTTTTTTTTTTTTTTTTTTTTTTTTTGAGACAAGAGTCTTACTTAGCTGCCCTCTGTAGAGTGTGGTGGAGTCATAGCTTTTGAGACAGAGTCTTGCTTAGTGGCCCTCTATAGAGTGTGGTGGAGTAATAGCTCACATCTACCTCAAACTCTTGGGCTCAAGCAAGCCTTTCGCTTCAGCATTCCAAGCAGCTGAGACTACAGGCACCTGCCACAACAGCCAGCTATTTTTAGAGATGGGGTCTTGCTCTTGCTCAGGCTAGTCTCAAACTCCTGAGCTCAAGCGATCCACCTGCCTCAGTCTCCCAGAGTGCTAGGACTACATGTGTGAGCCACTGCTCCTAGCCAAAATGTACATTTTTAAGGGTACAATTCAGTATTACCACTATCTATTTATAGAAATAGAACTTTTTCATCATCCTGAACAACTCTATCCTCATTAAGTAATACCGCCCACTCTTCCTCCACTCCCATCTCTAGCCCCTGCCCCTATTCTACTTCTGTCTCTATGAATTTGCCTATTCTAGATGCCTCATATAAATGAAAGTATATGATATTTGTCCTTCTCATATCTGGTTTATTTCACTTAGCATAATATTTCCAAGGCTCATCAATGTTGTAGTATGTAACAGAATTTCCTTTTTTTTTTTTTTTT